AATATATATATTTAAAATCTTGAAAAAGAGACCTATAGCTCTCTGAGTGGAATAATAATAATTCTTATTACCAAAATATTTACCATCCTCCCAATTTCATGTAATTCAAAGTATTTATTTTTGTGAAGTAAAATTAACATTTTTCATCTTTTAAAAGTTTAAACTGTGATGGCTTCAGGTTTTACCTTCCCAATAATCTTCCTGTTTTCTCCTTTCCATTTTCATAGGAGATACATTTTGAATCTTCTTGGTGTGCTTACATGATTTTGTACTCTAACACTTTCTTTATCTCTGTGTGCTTGCTGTGTTTTATGCCATTTCTTTACATTTATCTTGTAGTTCACTAATTTTCAACTATGTTTTATTTGTCATATAACTTGTCCATTAAGTTTTTTATTTTATAACTGCATTTCTGTTTTATAGGAGTTCAATTTGGTACACTTTTAACTCTGCCTTTTTTATAGTGTCTTATACTTCCTCATGCTTTTTACATTGTCTTTTATGTCTTTAATCATATAAAATAATTTTATATCTTTGAGATTTTTATCTCTTATCTCTAATTATTGGGGGTCAAGTCTTCCTGTTTGCAGTGTCTGCAAACTGAGTTTTCCCCTTGGAGGTCTTTGTGTTTGATGTGTTTCATAAATTTTAACTTGCTAGCCCCTCTTCACAGGAAGTACATTTTCTGGTGAAATTATGTCATGTAACTTTTCCTGCAGAACTCGTTTATGATACTTCCTTCCCCCCCTGAATCTCAAAATGTTAGTGATCATCCCCTGTTTGTATACACATTCAGGGAGTGTGTATTGGTCCATCACGTGCTTTATACTACAGGTTTAGGGTTTCAGTTTTTCATGGGATAATTTTTATTTTTGAACTAGAGATCTAGTAAAAGCCAAGTTTCTTTGTGTTGTAGTGACTGACTTTGGAATTAGGAGCATCTCACTGTTTTATATGTACTAGCCTGTCTTCCCTACACCTTCCTCCTTTAGTTATTCTTGTCCCCCTAGTTCTACATCTACTTTCATGTCATATATACATGTGATTTCATATATCTGTGTAAAACATATGAACCACAAATGAAAGGAAACCTATGACATTTGTCTTTCTCAGACTGCTTTAGTTTACTTAATTTGATCATCTCCAGTTGTGCCCATTTTCCTGAAAACCACATAATTTAATTTTTTATAGCTAAAAATTCTATTTTTAATATATACCATTTTTCTTTACCTAGTCCTCTGTTGGTGAATCCCTACTTCATTTCATAACTTAGCTATTATGGATTGCTGCAGTATACGTTGATACACAAGTATCTCTGTCATATGTTGATATGGGTTTTTCAGGGTCAATACCCAGGTGCTATATAGCTGGGTCATATGGGAGATAGTGATTTCCATAGGATCTGTGTTGTATTCATACTGATAATATGCAAATGTTCCCTTTTGTGCACATCCTTGGGAACTTCTTTTTCTTTTCTTTATTTTATTTTTTTTTTTGAAACAGGGTCTCATTGTGTAACCTTGAGTGGGTTGGAACTTGCTGAGTAGATCAGGTGATGGTCTTGAACTCACAGCCATCTGTTTCCCTCTGTCTTCTTAGTGCTTAGATTAAAGGTGTACACCACCATGCCTGAAATTATTTGTTTTCTAAATGACTGTCATTCTGTCTGGGTGGGATGGTATACATTTAACTTGTGTTCTCTGATAACTAGCAAGAATAAACATTTGTACTTCATCTTTTGAGAACCATTTGTTCATTTTATTAGCATATTTTTTTAAAAAACTTAGTTCTTTTTTAAAAAGATTTATTTATTATGTATACAGTGTTCTGCCTGCATGTATGCCTGCTGGCCAGAAGAGGGTACCAGATCTCATTACAAGTGGTTATGAACACCATGTGGTTGCTGGGAATTAAATTCAGGAACTCTCAAAGAGCAGTTTGTGCTCTTAACCTCTGTACCATCTCTCCAGCCCTTTATTAGCATATTTATTGAGTGGGTTATTTGAGTTTTTGCTAGTTTTTTGAGTTCTTTCTATAGTCTAGATACTAATCCTTTAAAAGATATATACACCTAACAAGGATTTTTCTCTCATGCTGTAGGTTGTAATTTTGTTGTTGTTGTTGTTTGTTTGTTTGTTTTTTCGAGACACAGTTTCTCTGTGGCTTTGGAGGCTGTCCTGAACTAGGTCTTGTAGACCAGGCTGGTATCGAACTCACAGAGATCCGACTGCCTCTCTGCCTCCCAAGTGCTGGGATTATAGGCGTGCGCCACCACTGCCCAGCTGTAGGTTGTATCATAACTCAGTTAATTGTTTCCTTTGCTGTGTAGAAGCTTTTTAGTTTTATGAGTTCCTATCAGTAGAGATGAAGACTGGTTTTTTGCTTTCATAGATATTATGTTTAGGCAATTGCATCCTGGTATTCTTCTAACCTGGGCTAAGGATTTAAAAGTGCTAATTATTCAGGTGAAAGTGGATTGCTTTATAGATACATAGGTAATTTTTAGTCTTTCATATGCCTCATTTTATTTATATAGTACTTATTTTATTTATACTTAGTATGGGTTTCAACTCTATTCAGAAACATTTACATATACTTTTGATTAAAATATGTATTACCTTTTAATGACAACTTTAAAACTTTTACTTTTTGTTCCTTGATAGTTTATTACATGTATATAATGAGTTTTAGACATTATGCAATTTTGGTTCTCAAGCATTATCTTTGCAGACGGCAGTATCATGTCATAATGTCATACAAAATAAATACATGTTTCCATTATTTGTATAAATGGCTGGCTGCTTACAATAATATGTATGTTATTGTATGTTCCCAGCATCGTCTCTGTTCACTCCTTGAGCTAACTTAAATCAGAGTAATCCTTAACAACAGCAAGCAGCCCATTTGCAAAAATCTAACCTCTGCCACAATTTACAAGGCTAACAATGATTTGCATTCTGCCATCTCAAGGCATCTTTTTCTATTTTTCTCATTTGCTTCCTTCTTTCCACATGAGCATTCTAGTTATTTGAAACCAAGGTTCAAGAAAAGGTTATTGACCGTGTTAAGGCCTTTGAACTTGTTGAAATATTCTTCCTTCTATCTCAAGACTTTAACCAAAAGTTGCTGTCTCAGAAGGTCTTTATTGACCAGGAAATTAAATTGCTTTTCCTGATTATTTTTCTTTAGCTTTTATCAATATCGATTATGACATGCATTTTAATTTACTTACATTGCTTACTGCTTTTCTTCCTCAGAATAAAAGTGGGCAAGCTTTTCCTGGGTCCATTGTTGTTACCCTAGTACTTATGTCAATGCACTTTTCCTTACAGGGGGCAGGTGTGAGGAAATGACTTACACATAACCTATTCTGTTGAGATTATGGCAACTGGCTAAGGCATTTGTTTCATAGTGAATGTGAAGCAGTTATATTATTTTTCTTAAAGTTTAACAAATCTAAGTATATTGAAGAAAATGAGAATTCATACATGGCTGGCTAGAGTTTAGCTTGGTCAGCTATTCTGGAGGACTAAGTGACAATTTTTGAAGACAAAAAATGTATCCAGTGTGAGCTGGCCTGCCAGAAAACTATGAAAAAGCAGAGTGACACTCCATTAAGGGGAGGCACAGAGAGGAAGGGCTTCTGCTGCTGTCTGAAAGCAGGGAAACAGAATGCCCATCATCTACTAGCCCCAGGGATTTGGAGATCTCGCAGCAGATGCAGAAAAAGGCAAATAGGGAAGACATGGAACCCCAGTCGTTCTGTGCCCTTTGCCTGTGTGCCTGGCACCAGGCCTGCCATACACCTGTTTCTTCCTGTAGTGCACACAGGTTCCAGCACGGGTGGCATTCCCTTTGCCCCGAGTCTGCAGCAAGTCCCCTGTGTTTTTCCTTCCTCTCAGGTAGCTTCTCTCCCTCTGGGACATTTCTGGGTGTGAGGAGCTGACTCCTTCCCAGTCCAAAGTATTAGTAACTTTGTAATTTTTTTTTTTAAAGAACAAACTTTAGAAATTCTTTTTGAAATTTATTCTATTAAAATGATGAACTACAAAATTTAAATATAATCACATTCCAGAACAATTCACAGTGTTAAAAAGCTGGCAACTAGTAAACTATGGTTAAACATTGGACTGTATAATTATTACAAGTTATAAGAGCCCTACAGACTGGGACATTTATTGCTATCATATTCCACTAATTCTCCTTTAAAGCACAAGTTCACTGAGGCCCAGAAGTACTAAAGTAGTCAGTACCCATTGAAGGTCATGAGACTCTTACTTAAAATAATTTTATTCCTGTGTTTATTTGTTCTTTAATATTTCTTTCAGTGAACAGTTAATATGAAGAATCAAACTCTACTAAATGTAGTTTTTTAGTTTTAGTTTTTGTTTTTTAGTTGTTATGTTTCTTTAACATGGTATAGTTCTTACCACTTACTGTCTGTCTACTACCACTGGACAAGAAAATACACTCTTATCGCCAGGGATCTGTTTCATTCATACAGTATCCCAGGAACATATGTAGTGATAGTAGTCCTATAAATATATTGCGAAATATATTTCAATGAATGTATTTTTTGAGACAGGATCTCAACTATGGTTTTTGTTTTGTTTTGTTTTTGTTTTTGTTTTTCGAGACAGGGTTTCTCTGTGTAGCTTTGGAACCTATCCTGGCACTCGCTCTGGAGACCAGGCTGACCTCGAACTCACAGAGATGTGCCTGCCTCTGCCTCCCGAGTGCTGGGATTAAAGGCATGCGCCACCAACGCCCAGCTAGGATCTCAACTATGTAACCCAAGCTGGCTTTAGCTCCTTCCAAATGCTGGGATTATAGGCACAAGACACTGAACTGGCTCGACTGTACTGTTGTTGTAAGGAAGAGAGTTACTATAAAATTTTTGAAAGAAATTCACTAAAAGTTGTAATAGAAGATAAATGCCACATTTGGTAGTATACAATTTATAGTAAAGAATTTTAATAGATTTTTCTCCATTTTTCAAGGTTTCTCAATATTCTTTACAGAAGAAAGTTAGTGAAATGGTAAGAAAATTATATAATATATATTTTGGCTACAAGATACACAAGATATATAGTAATACTGTATATAAATGTGACACTTTTAGTGAAAAAAAATCCTAGAAAGTTGATACTGGGCATTGTTCTGCCTGCCGAAATTTCAAAGTCATTATAGCTTAGATAAATTTTGCAAATTTCTTAGTGCATGCATATTATAAATAAATAAATAAAATATATGGCAAGTTCATCCTTTATTGTTCTACATTTAGATATGGTACTTGTTATTGTTTAAGTATTTGTTGTTTTTATTTTTATGCACATAAGAGTATTTATTTTACAGAATAACATTTCATGGAATACTTATTTGTTAATATTTTTCCTTGTAGCTGTATTTGATTCAGAAAGAAGTTTTTTGTTTATTGTTGGTTTTTTGGTGGTTTTAATTAAACAGGATTCTCAATAAATCTACTTAAATCTTCAGGAGGCTTCTTGGATGGGATTATGTTATTCCAATCTTCATTCTTTGGAATAGACTGTAAAACAAGTAAAATTAATTTTTGAGTATACTTTGGCTACCACATAGATAAGAAATGAAATTGCTGCTGTTACTTTGAATAACATATTAAATATTTTGCTTCTTGAAATTGTTTGAGGTATTAAAAATAAAAGAGCTCATAGGAAGATTGTTAGGCTTGATTGAATAAAAGATGTGAAAATTCTGTTGCTATTCAACTGGAGAGAATAAAGATAATATTGTCATACTATTTTAAACTGTGATTTTAATTAAGAAGCTGAAAAACTAGATTCCAGTTTATCTGTAAGTACCGTGACATTTGTGCTGAAAGTCATCTTCAACGCTACAGTGGTTTTACACAAAATATAGAGAAATTGAATAATGTGCCCTTTGGCCTGGGAGATAAGGCTACAAGTAAAGAATCAAAGGCCACAAAAAATGTATTTTATTTTATTCCAGTTTAAAATTTTATTGAACGGATACCCATAATCTTTTAAAAAAACACAGAAATATCTCTAAGTTTTTTGTTAATGTGTGAATGATAAGTTTATATTTTTTCCTGACAGTTGAAAGTATTATATCACTTTTCATTAAAATTATCTTATATATTGAGTACATTTAATATTTTATGCCCAGTCAGGGGCAATATTTTAATGTAAAAGTTAAAAAACATATTTTTCTAAACATTCTTATATATATATATATATGTTTGTCTTATAATTCTTTATTATTCTTATATAATTCACATGACCTTTTCCTTATTCAATGTTAATCTTATTTTATGAAAGTAGTACATTATTTTCATACTATTTAGCACTAGGGCAAGCCAGGAAACAGGACAGACATTCCAATAGTGTCCAGAACTTGTTGAACATCAGAGTGTCCTAAAATAAGTAACTTAAAAATAGTATTGAGAAATTTTAATGATGTCCATGACTTCATTAGAGGTGAGCACGTAATTCCTAGTAAATGTCAGTCTACAGGGAGTTCAAGAAAATGACTTCCCTGTAAAGGTGGATTATAAAGGTGAAGCTATGCCCCTACAGAAACTAACACATCATGGATCAAACTATTTTTCTGGAAAAGTCATGGTCATCACCAATAAGAATGCAACAAAATATATTGGACATCAACTTAGCCATTACTACAAGTTGGCCACTGACGAAAATCCTATTGTATATAGTGTACCAAGTAGCTGATAGGGTACATAGTCAAAGTTACAGATGACCATCATGACTCTAACTGCTCTCTGCTTAATGATATAAAACCTTGTCCAATGCCCTTTAAGCTATGTTTGATCTCTCTTTTTGTATATTACTTTCCTTTAAGGAAAGACTTAGAAGAAAGATGTCTTTTTCTTTTTCAAATTAAAGCAGAGTTTAAGTGTTAAAAGCTTTGATATAGAGTATATTTTCTTTCAGAATAAAATGTTTTAGTTTATACTGTTGACCTGTATATATTTGTGTTTGTTGACAGTGTGTATGCTTTGTGCCCACCGGTTCAAATGGCCATATATAGCCCAGAGAGGTATAGGTACCCATGGGACTTAGAAGTCTTAATAGTATTTATTATGACCAGTGAATAGTCTGGAGTATCTAAAAGGCAGAATTCTATCATGCAAATCAATGAAACTTCATTTTCCTTGGATTCCACTTTGGCATCAAGCAAAGGATTTTTGGAATAAGAATATTACAGTTTAATATGTATAGAGCTCTATGAATAAGGAGTGCCTGTGAAAGGAATCTCCAAACTTTGTTGCATTTTCACTAACAGGATTATTAACTTTTGTAGATTTTGACTGCCTACTTCTGCTTTTTAGCTGAAAGGTTAAGGAGACTGTTTGGGGATCATAAATTAATATGTAGTAGACAGTGTTCTCTTAAAAGCTGTGTAAGTATGAATTTAAAGTGAAAATGTTCTTGACTTGAAAATATTCCATTAGAATCCAGTGAAATTGTGTTAGATTTGTGCATATCTGCTACGAATTAGTGTAATTCTCTTGTGAATTAGTGGTATTTAAATATAGTTAATTATTTTCTATTGCTTAGTAATTGATAATAATGATGACCTAAGTGGATATAAGTTTTTACAAACTTATAGTAGTAGTGTTAACTCTTCTGAATAGGATTCAACTTTTACCAATTATGTCTCCAGTTTTGGTAGATTTTCTATGGTATTACATTGTCTTCCTGTCATTGCAAAGTATTGTTCTTGGTCCCTATCATTCCACGTTTTATTACTTTCTTATTTGGGGGAGTAGGGGTGGAGCATTTGCTCACTTAGAGGTCTGAGGAAAACTTGTGAGAACTGATTCTCTTCTCCCACCATGTGGGTCCCTGGGATTGAACTCAGTTCATCAGGCTTTGTGGCAAGTGCCTTTGCCTACTGAGTCATCTGTCTGGCTACTTGTCATTATAATTTATAAATTATGTATTATTATTGTATCTTTGTGCATACATGTACATGCACATGGAAATCAGAGGAAAACTGTCAGAAATTGTTATACATGTATGCATATGTTTATTTTATATATAACTTTAAAATTACTCTTAAAAATAGGAACAAAAAGCCCATTTACACCATCTAGCTAAAGAAGATTATCACAAACAACTGAACGAAATCGAAAAATACTATGTTACAATAACAAATCAGTTTGGATTGGTGAAAGAGAATCACACAAAGTTAGAACAAAATGGTAAGTGCTATCTTATCTAGGTTTATATATATAGTAGGGAATATTTAAGTGGACTTCCTTATTATTAGTAAATTGAACTTACCTGATACTAGTAATAGTAAATGGCAGTTAATGAATATTAAATTAAATTACAATTATGCATTGCATTAGGACTGTTTTCTTGTCCAAATAGGTGATACCTTTTTTGAAATGCACAATTTATATAATCCATTTCTAATATCTTTTATGTTACAGTACAAGAAGCAATACAATTAAACAAAAGACTTTCCACCTTAAATGAAAAACAAGAATCTGAAATAGACAGTTTAAAGAAGGTATGATTGACATATTAAGCAAAAACTATAGTCTAAAATAATTGGTCTTATAGGATATTATGGAATATTACTAGAAAACAGTTGAGTGGTTTTTTGGTAGAAGTTAGAAAATATAAATTCATAAGTGTTAGGTATGATTACAGCAAATATAATGCATTATTTCTTTAATTTATCATCAGTAGTATACATTCTTAGGGAAATAGAAATGCCCTGTAAAAACTTATTGTGTTAACTAGATAGTTTGTTTACTTTTCCTCTCTCCCTCCCTCTCTTCCTCCCTCCTTTCCTTTCTTCCTTCTTTTTTAAGAACTTGTATGTGCTAGGTAATATGTGGTACTGAATATAACTATGAATAATATAAAACATGCTCCTGCTTTAATGAAATTTATAGTATGTTTTAGTTTATTTACCTATTGATGTGATAAAATGTTCTGATAAAAGTGCTTTAAGGGATAAAGGGTTTTTTTTTGACTCACAGTCCAGTCCATCATGGTAGGGAAGTCAAGGTAGTAGGAACTTGAAGCATTTGGTCACATCATACCTACAATGAGAAACAAACCATGAAGAATGTTTGTTGTTGCTCAGTTCCCTTTTTTTTACTTATACAATCAAGGGTCATAGCCAAGGGAATGGTGTCACCCAAAGTGGGCAGATCATTTCTCTTCATTTAACCTAATCAAAATAATCTCCCAAAAGCATGGCCAGAGGTGAGTCTCCCAGATAATTTTAATTCTCATCAAATTGAGATCCTGGGGTCTCCATTGCAACTTAGGGTTCTTCCCTAGAGTACCATATAATGGCTTCTTAAGATCTCTTTGCACGGACTCTCATCCTGTCATTCATTGCCTGGCCTCAGCACTCTCTGGAATCAGGGATCTAGACACCATGACCCCTTCAATTTCGTATCTTTTAGGCCTACTAAACCAGTACCACTTGATCAATGCTGTCAAGTTCTGCTGCCAGATATGTATCTTGTCCTTCATGGACCACAACTCTATCAGCTTCTGTATGCTAACCCTTGGGAAACATTCTCCTGGGCAATTACTTTTGAAGAATAGGGAAATTGACATTCTCCCTTAACTACATCTTTAGTTCTGTCTCTCTCTCCTTTCAAATAAGTTTTTATTTTCACAACTTGGAGCTTTTGATGGGTTTTGTCCTTAGGACACTATTCCTATTGTGTGCAGAACTGGAGGATTTTTCTTCAATAGTGCTTATCTCTTTAACAATTACAGAATGAGTATGTTGATATCCACAAAACAACATGCTGTTTTGATTGATATTGCACTGAATCTGTAGTTCAAATTAGGAAGAAGAACTGACATCTTATCAAAATTGTCTTCCTTCCCTGGAACATGGATACTTTTTCCATTTGTTTAGTTTTATCACATGTCTTTCTTTGGGTTTTTTATTAATAGATATTAAAATATATCAATATAATGGGTTTCATCCTCATGAAACATTATAATGCACATATATGATGTGTTTTGATTATATGCAGCCCTCATTACTTTCTCTTGTTTTCCCCACACCACTGATAATTCTCTTCTCAAATAGTCTCCCTTCTATTTTTTTTTTTCACCAATGACTGTGAGGTTTGTTTGGGAGCATGGGCACCTTACTAATGGTTACACTACAGAAGATGTTTATTCTTCCTCCAGTAACCTTTTACTGGCTATAAATTCTCAGGTAGAGGCAGGGCCTTGTGAGCTCCTCCATGACAGGGTAATGGTTGCCCCAATCTTCTGCAAGTAATCACAGCTTCTGTAAGTTTAGGAGTTTGACAGCTATCTTATGCCTGGGAGTCATTTTCCACATGACTCCCTGCCCTTCTTCCAGGTCTTAATTCTTTCTACTCATTCTCCATGATGTTTCCTGAGCCTTAGAGGGGGTGATATACATCCCCTATTTATAGTCAAGCATTAATCTCGCACTTACTTTCATTTCTTTGGACAGTTATGCACTTTTGCAGTTACTGCTGCCACTGTAGAAAAAAGCTCCTCTGACCAAAGCTGACAGCAACACTAACCTATGCACATAAACATAGTTATTTAGAAGGCAGATTGCCCTTTTAGCAAAACAGCAGCTGTGGTTTTCAATCTTCCTAATGCTTCAACCCTTTAATATAGTTCCTAATGCTGGGGTGACCTCCATCCATAAAATTATTTTGTTACTACTTCGTAGCTATAATTTTGCCACTGTTATAAATTGTAATGTAAATATCTGACATGCAGAATATCTGATATGTATCCCTCAAAGGGGTCATGTCGAATAGGTTGAGAATTGCTGCTTTAAGGCCTGTGACCTCCAAACTATGGGTTTTTAGTACCAGCTGTGAATTCCCTCTTCTGGAGCAGCCTCAAATCCAATCAGAAGTTGTTGGTTACTTCTGAAACAGACTAGCCACTATTGCACCAGTGGGTACACTTTGCCTGGCCAGTTAGTAATATTGTATGCAGGTCATAGCTGAGCAGTTTTATGTCAGCTTAACACAACCTAGAAGGAACCTCAATTGAGAAAATGTCCCTGCTATATTGGTCTGTGAGCACAGCTGTGATACATTTTCTTGATTGATGATTGATGTGGGAGGGCCCTGCTCACTGGGTGGTGCTGGTGGTCCTCGGTGCTATAAGAAGGCAAGCTGAGCAAGACAGTAAGCAGCATTCCTCTATTGCTTTTAAATCCATCTGCCTCCAGGTTCCTGTCCTGAGTTCCCTGGATAATGGAATACAAACTGTAAGATGGAATAAACCCATTTCTCCCCAAGTTTTTTATGATCATGCTATTCTATCATACCAAGAGAAATTCTAAGACTCTCCCAGAAGACTATGTGTATCTTTTGGTACTCTGTGAGCTAGCCAGAAGGGAGGAGCTTTCAGTCCAGTTCCAGCATGATTTCTTGTATGTCTTATGACATAGTGTGGTGGCTAGTTTTATATCAACTCAATGAAAGCTAGAGTTATCTGGCAGGATAACTAACAGATAATGCCTTGTTGAGGGTCCTCTGTATTTGTTCTCATCTACTGTAGGATAAAGCTTCTCTGATGATGGCCAAGCAAGGCATTGATCTACCAGTATAATAAAATATTATTAGGAGTTGTTTTATTGCTTCATTCTTTTAACAGAACCATAGAATATGGTTTTCTGCTAGGTCCATGGCCTATCTTGTTTCAGGTTCTTGGCCACCTGGGGGTACTTTTTTAAAATAAAAAATTTTATTTATTTTTATACATTTTAAAAATAAGATAGAATTATATCCTTTATCCTCTTCCCTTTCCTCCTTCTGATCCCTCACAGGTCCCTTCTCTCCAACCTCTCCCATGTCCATCCCCCAATCTCAAATTGATAACCTGTTTTTTTCTGGATATTATTATTATTACATACAAAAAATACAACCTGATGAGTTTGCTTTTGTTGTATATGTGTACGTGGTTTTAGGAATGACTACTCTATATTGGATAACCAGCTAGGGGCTCATCCCTGGGAGAGGCTAATTCTCCCTCTCTCAGAAATCATTAATTACCTGTAATTCTTTGTCTTTCTAATATCAAGCATGATTTCCCTCCTTTTGAGTGGGCCCTGAGTTAAGCTAGTTTTTGGTTACCACCAATATGTGAATGCTATTTATTGGAACTTCAGTTACCCTGTCATGCTGGTTATTATTGTGGTTCATAGGTATTACAACTGGGTAGAACTATTAATTGCTTCCCTCCTTTGGTGGCTTGCATAATATTTTTCAATACCATGGAAGCTAGACTGTAGGAAGGGGGCTTTCAGGTTAGTTTCAGCTCTAATCACTTGAGTCTGATATCCTAAGTGTGAAGTGTCTTCAGCAATCAGGTCTTATCTTCAACCTCTGAGAGGTGACCAAGGGCAGCAGCAATCATCTATATTGTTATAGGAGTCATTTGGACTACCCTGATTAACCATTTGAAAGGTTTCTGGTGCTTGGTACTGGGGTTTTGTTAGTCTGTGGTTCTTGTAGGGAGCTTTGTCAGCCCAAGTGACTTAATGTCCTTTAAGGTGTGTGTATGTATGCATGTGACTACATACACACTTATATGACATATGTGTTGTGTATCATTTTAGTTAAATATAAGATATGGTATGGCCCCATGTGTTTGAAGAGCCCATAGGAAGCTGCACTATTAGGAGGTGTGGCCTTGTTGGAGTAGTTGTGGCCTTGTTGGAAGAAATGTGTCTCTGTGGAGGTGGGCTTTGAGGTCTCATATGTTCAAGTTACCCCCAGTGTGACACATGAGAGTTTCCTTCTGCTGCCTGTGGATCAAGATGCAGAACTCTTATCTCCTTCTGCAGCACCATGTCTGCCTGCATGCCTCCGTGTCCCACCATGATGATAATGGACCAAACCTCTGAAACTGTAAGCAAGCCCCAGTTAAATGTTTTCCTTTATAAGAATTGCTGTGGTCATGATGTCTCTTCATAGCAATAGAAACCCAAACTAAGACATAAGATAATATGGTTCCTTGAGTCTTTATTAAACAACATTGGTATAATTTGTCACTTCTCTCTGCCCTCCTTCTGTATTAATTCTTCTAGTTGGAGACACTATCCTGCTTTTCTGTTGCATTAATCTTTTGAATTTCTTTTTGAAACTTACTTCCTTGTTTATTCTTGCATGTTATCTTTCTAATTCAAATATTAAGAGCTATTAATAAGAGTTTTTTAAAAGTTCCCTGTCTGATGATTCCAGCGTGTTTGCCATATCTGACTGGTTCTTATGCTTGTTCAGTCCTTTCAAATTTGGTTGTTTACCTTTCAGTGTACCTCCTAGGTTTTGTTTGGTCATGGTTACAGGGTAGAACTGCAGTGAGTAGACCTTTAGTAAAATGGTGGTGAGATGTCAGGGGAGAGGGGAAGATAACTAGATTTTGTCTTTTAGTGAACCTGTATTACTAATACTGTGAACTTTACAGTGTTCCTTCAATTGCCCCCTCCCCCTTGGGTAGGACAAGATGGCTGGAGAGGACTTGAGTTTG